GATTTGTAGAAGTATCCATAAAGAAAAGAACATCTGCTTACAGTTTCTGTTTCATATGGATGTTGAACGAGATGTATCCATAGATCCCTCTTCATGCTTGCCATCTTCAAAGTGCGAGCAGGTTGATGCTTTTAGTTAAACATTAAACAAGCATCCTTCCCCGGGGGCACCATGCCTGGACCCCCTACAGACGGGTGTGAGGTCACTCTCTCCCCCGTGTCCACAGCCGACCCGCCTGCCGACTATGAAACTAAAACCTACATTTGCACAATCTTGTGTCCATATCTTTCTGTTGTGGTGGTCATGCCCACACGTGCGCACAGTGGCATGCATGGCGCGAGTCATCGGTGAGATAATCTGCGGATTAAGCAGTGCTGTCTTTCTTTGCACAGCATCGAAAGAACACGCGCCGAAATGCAATGGGCTGTGTTTTTTTAGTTTTTTTAAGCAGCCGGGTACAATAATCTTGATACGCGCCCTCGGACGGATGATTGAAAAAATTAAGATTGGCCCTTGAGAGAGAAAGGTTCCACCCTTGGCTCTAAGGCCTCGTCAGAGGATCGATTATCAACGGCAGGCTGTCTGGAGGAGCCGTAACGAGGATCACACTGATTTAGAGGAGAAAGGAGTCTCCTCTGGAGGAGCTTATAGCCGAGGGTCACTCGATGGCAGAGGAGGAGAGAGAAGAGAGGAGTATCTGGAGCAGTTATAACCGGAGGGGTACACTGAAGTATTCTCCGGAGAAGTATTTCAGCAAGATAGGATGTTTATTAAGAGGGTGTGACGCATGGCTGGACTTTATGCTCAGAGCACAGCTCTGCAACTGGTTCCCAGCGTTGTGATTATAAGGTATTTGAGATGATCAAATGTGCATACAGACTGTTCTGCCCTTTACCGTTTGTTTACTCACTAATCACATCTCCCCTGGATGTTAGGCTGTTTTTTTTTAATACAACCGCTTTCATTGTGACGCAATGTTTACAGTGAAAACAGCAATAATATTTATAACAGGCCTACATTACACACTTTATTTGTATGCTTTAGTAGATATCTACAAGTAAACATTAGATATTTTTCATGAAACCATATAGTGCTTCACATAATAAAATATACAAGGGCTGTAGCCTGATATACATTATATGCTTTAGGAGCTGTATGTGTGTGTTGTACAGTCAGTAGGTGTCTGTTATGGAGTGTATAGGTGTCTGTTGTAATTGAATTTGCCGCCAGCAGAGCCGGTGTGTGTGGGTTAGGGGTAACCCTAATTATGAGCATTTATTTCTAAGCCACGCCTTTTTGCAAACAGGTTTAGATTAATGACGGGCATATTTATCGACTGAACATGCTCATTTTCTACGGTAATGTGTCTGACCCTCCACCGATGCTGTATACTAAGTTTGGCGTTGAAAAAGAAAACATGGAAATTTAAGGTAATATTTCACTGTTTTTAACATTATGCTAATTAAAAAAAATGAAGTAGGTGGAGCTTTGGGGTTCAAGGACATAATATGTAGAGTAGGTCCACCCGAATAAGTGGGCAAAATTTCAGGTCATTCGGAGTGACGGTGCCACTTTGTAAAGGTTTCCAAAAATGGAAATGTAGTAGTTTGGATTAATTTGTGACATGTAAATCGTCAAAAATGGTACATTCTCCGTTAGCTTACGAGCTCCCCGTTTGAGCTAGCAACTATTTTCTTCGCAATTTAGCATCATATTGGATAGGGGCTGAACTTGTCCTGGATTGGATTTTTTTCGATCATTCCCCTAGGAGGAGTTTGCAAGAATGTGCTTAAAATGCATGAATAACGCACATTTTTCAAAATGGCCGACTTCCTGGGGGGCGGGGCTAATGGAAGGCAATTTGAAATATGTGTGCAATCATAATAGCAATGTGTATACAGCGTTTCGTGAATATCGGAAAAACTATATGCGAGCAGTTTGGAGCAATTTGCGACATGTAAATCGTCAAAAATGGTGTATTCGCTGTTAGCTTACGACCTCCACGAGTGATTTTTCAAAAATGTGCTCCGCAATTAAGTATCATATTGGATAGGGGCTGAACTTGTCCTGCATTGGAATTTTTCCGATCATTCCCCTAGGAGGAGTTCGCAAGAATGTGCTTAAAATGCATGAAAAACGCACATCTTTCAAAATGGCCAACTTTCTGGGGGGCGGGGCTAATGGAAGGCAATTTGAAATATGTGTGCAATCATAATAGTAATGTAGATATAGCGTTTCGTGAATATTGGAACAACAATATTTGAGTAATTTGGAGTACATTTGCGACATGTAAATCGTCAAAAATTGTGTATTCGCTGTTAGCTTACGACCTCCACGATTGAGCTATCAAAAATGTTCTTCTCAATTTGGCATCATATTGGATAGGGGCTGAGCTTGTCCTGGACTGGAATTTTTCCGATCATTCCCCTAGGAGCAGTTTGCAAGAATGTGCTTAAAATGCATGAAAAACGCACATATTTCAAAATGGCCGACTTTTTGGGGGGCGGGGCTAATGGAATCTATTTACAAATATGTCCGCAATTCCATGAGGAATGTCTGTGCCAAATATCGTGAAGTTCTAAGAAACTATATGTGACTACCACACAATAGGGGGCGCTAGTGAGCAGCTTTTTTGAAAAATTACGTTTTTTTTTTACATTCTCGAAAAGGTCGTGGGCTCTGACGTGTGTCCCAAGTTTTGCGTCCGAAGCTCATTTTATGCTATCGCAATTTAAAAAAAATGTATAGGCCACGCCCACATTCTGAGTTTGAGTTTGTAGTCACCCTGAGAGTATGTCTAAAAAAATAAATAAATAATTAGTCCATCCGCTCTTGAGTTATAAATTGGTGGTGTTTTTGGCGCCCCCTATAGTCCAAATGAAAATGCTTTGGTGTGCCTATTCCCCAAGACAGTCTGAACCTATCTACCGAAATCTGTGTTGTTTGGATACATTGTTGATGAGTTATGAGCATTTCTTTCTAAGCCCCGCCTTTTTGCGAGTACGTTTTGATTGACGGCGGCAATATTTATCGTCCTAACATGCTCATTTTCTACGGTAATGTGTCTGACCCTCCATCGATGCGGGATATGAAGTTTGGTGTTGAAAAACTGAAAATTGAAATTTAAGTGAATATTTAACTGTTTTGAACATTATGCTAATTTAGAAGGAAAAAAATGTAGGCGGAGCTTAGGGTTCCAAGAGGATTATTTGTAGAGCAGGTCCACCCGGATATGTGTGCAAAATTTCAGGTCATTCGGAGTTACGGTGCGACTTTGTAAATTTATTCCGAAATGGGATTTTGATAGGTGGCGCTATTGAGCACGTTGGAATATTTTAACCCATTGACTCCAGAATGTTGCAATTTTTACCGGTCCTGGCGTCCGTGCAAAATTATACAACTTTGTCAGCATCCTAAAGGCCTCAAAAACAGGAAAGATGGTGACTAAAAATAATAATAATAATACCACCAATAACAATAGGTTCCTCGCACTTCGTGCTAGGACGCCGTTGGGTCCTAGCGCTCCGTGCTCGGGCCCTAATAATAATAATTCCACCAATAACAATAGGTTTCCTCGCACTTCGTGCTAGGACGCCGTTGGGTCCTAGCACATCGTGCTCGGGCCCTAATAATAATAATAATAATAATAATAATTCCACCAATAACAATAGGTTTCCTCGCACTTCGTGCTAGGACACCGTTGGGTCCTAGCACTTTCGTGCTCGGGCCCTAATAAGAATTCCTCCAATAACAATAGGTTTCCTCGCACTTCGTGCTAGGACGCCATCGGGTCCTAGCACATCGTGCTCGGGCCCTAATTATGAAATCAAAATATGGCAAGGCAAGAAAGAAAGTAAGAAAGGAATGACTTCAACATCATCTGGAATGCAGTTCTTCCAGTAAGCAGTTGTTTCAGCGTTATGAAATGAATAGTTACAGGATAAACAGACATAGCTTCCAGTGAGCAGTGACAATGGAGGTCCAATGACTTTACACAATTCATTTGACCTTTAGACAACATTATTTTACTTTCACCGTCACATGTGGTTTTGCCTTGATTCTTTTATGTCTTACTTACTCTATGGGCCCAATTATAATCGCAAAAAGTGCAGCACAAACAGCAAAAATGCTAGGTTAGTGGGATATGGATGGAAGGGTGTAGAGATAAATAATGTACTCTACTCATTGCTCTAAACAGCTGATCTGAGCACGGCTGAGACAATGAATGGATGAGTTGCTGATGAGAACAGCTCATCATATAGAAAGAGGCTTGCTTGAACAGTTTTTTAGGCTTCAATTCATAACTTTTAATTTGTTTTTAGGCCTTAATCCCCAATCTCACATTGTAAATTGTCACTTATTTTTGTAAAAGTTTGATGCGACAACGTTGGCACTGTAATAATTTCAAAAATGTGCAAAAACAAAGGATGTAGTATAGGGACAGTTTAGACATCCTGAATCAAAAGTGTTGTGCTCTCCACAGATATAAAAATGAATATTCTTAAAATATTCCATGGTGTTGTCTGATGGAGAAAACTAATGATCGATATCCACAGCTGAAGCTAAATTGACCGGACTTCTTTCATGACTGCACATTGTCCCTAGAGCCTCCTTCTCCATAGCAGCGTTTTTTTAGCGAAAATGAGCAGACCTCTGTAAGGTCCAAATTGACCAATCAGAATCGTGAATTCAATTAAGCCAAATCAGTTACATGTCAGCAATCAGTAGATTGTGATGCCTATTAAACATATGAACAAATCCACTGGTTGAATGTCAAGTTGTTTGTTTACATTTATGTTGTTCAGGAATAGCATCATCACCAAAGTGGTAGTGCATTGACTTTGGTCTAGAAACAGATATGGTTATAAGAAATGTTTTCTCTGTGTGACCCTTAAATCCCAATTTCCACCAAAATACCTCCTGCTGTGCTGGACACTAAAGTTCAAGTCAAACAAGCAGAGGCAATTGCAAGGTGCTGCTTGTTGTTCCAACACGGTGATAGAACCTTGAAAGACTTTTTCTTGTGGAAGAAAAACTGACGCAAACAGCATCAAACCTGAAAGAAGCCTTCCTCATATAATCTTTATGAATACATTCATGTTTTTTTTTAATTAAAGTTATTGTGATAAGGGCAATAATGCAGAAAAAAAGTTTATACTTACTCCCCTCCAGACTTTACCTCAGAACTGCATAACTGTGATTGTCAGCTCTTACACTGCCTTGATGCTTATCATCATGCATAAGTGGGCGTGGTCAAATCTAAACTGGGTTTGAAAAACGATATCTGCTGCAGGGTCACCTTTCCACTAGCATTATTAACACTTATTCGCTTTATTGCTATATTATATGTCTTAAAAGGAATGCATAAACAGAGCTTGTGGCAATGTTAAAATACACAAGGGCCCAGGGGCGGATCTAGACAAATATTCATTGGGTGGCAAGAGGGTGGCAGGAGAATTTCAGGGGTGGCAACCCCTGGCAGAAGTATATGCTGATTTAATCGCAGTCATATTGATTAGTGTTAACTTGGAAAGCCACAATATTGATATTTTAACTGAATAACATTAGGTGACATTATTGTGGCACATCAGTAAAGCCTTACATATAAATATAAAGGTAGCAGAATAATTGAATGAATTTTAACTGAACACAAATAAACCTGAATGGAGTTTGACTCTTAGACCATACAAGGGTACCCAGTGGGCGGACTGGTCATTGGGTGGCCCACCTAGTGTCAGCAGAAAGTGAGATTACAGATAATGATACCAAAAATGCAAAATAAATGCTAAAAAAAATGATTAGCTCGATAGCTCGAAAATAAGACATTTTTTTTCTATGCATTGTTATTGCAGTTTTTAAGAAACGTTACCTGTTAGATAAATGCGCGTAATGTTTGATTCAAGTTTGTAATACCCGTTACTGACGTATACCACACATGGAGTTCGTCGCATCTCCTCTTAATGTATCCAAAGATCTCTCACGTCGAAGGTAACCCTGTTAAGTTCCTTAATGAAGTACTTAGATCATTCAGGTATTTATTCAAGGTAATTATGCTATGATATGGACTTATTGTAAGTCGACTACCAAGCACTGGTAAGGAGACTTTTATCTATAAAAGAAGTAATAAAGAGATTTTTGTCCAGAAAGGATAAGCCCAAATGACCTTCATCTTCAAGTCAAGTTAAACCACCATTTTATTGGGAAAATGGGATCTTAGCTAGAGAGCAATTCAATTCTTAAATGATTAACAATTACATTTCTGGGGTATCCTTTGTTGAACATGTCGATTTAAAAGTAATCGAGAGGGCATCAGGACTAATTAATAAGTTTAGTATAGGCAT